TATCAAACGGTAATCTGGTCGCGACATGGAGCGGGTGGCGCGATAGGCTGACTAGAATTTATGTGGACCTGCATATTGTCTAATCAACACGTTTCATCAAAGAACATTAACCAAATGACGTGTTACAACGCGGAAGAAACATTTATTTTATTCGCTTGAACAAACCGATCGGAAAGCAAGTGGTCAGATGTGACTTGTTGCCGTAGCGGTGGTCAGTGAAGGTAATACCAATTTGTGTGGCATCCGTGAGATCGGCTAGATTTGAGCGCTTCAGAACTGAGATGGCATGCTTCATGGCTCCTGTGGTGGTAGATCTAAAGGTTGAGTAATTGAAGGCGTTCCTCGGTCTTAACCAGATGAAAGCTACGTGTATTCGCTTCCGGCTTGGAACGCCATGTGATAAATCTTTTCCGTTGATAACTTGCCTGGAGAGTGATAACGCATTAGTAATTAGATCAGAGGCATTGCAAGTACTTCACTCTATTTTCACTCAATAATCTAGACCGTGAACCCAAACTTCGGCTACACTTTCAATTCGGAGGCTGAAAACAATTGCGGACGATCACTGAATCAGACTGACTGACTTCAGAAGCTAATTAGCATAATCAAACGAACGAGGTACCAGCAGCAAAACGACTTGACCGGTAAAACTAGCCAGTCTTAAAGCAATGCGTAATCCTTTCCTTTAGTCGGAGTTCCTTTAGGTCTAATATCCGCTGCAGATTGCATATTTCCATCTCTATCCCCTTCACTTATCATTCGCTCCCATTCTCACAGTTTAAAGTGCCCGCCTGCCGAAAACGAACTCAAGCGGATTAACAAAATATGCAACAGATTGCGGCATTTTCAATTCAGGTCTATTAGACGTATGGTAATTGGGTGCATTTGGATGGATTTAGATTTGAATGGCCCCAGAGGGTACTAAAAGTCTTTTTTCGCAAGAAGGTCAGTAGATCCCGGTAAAAGGATTGCGGTGTTTGTAAATCTACGAAAAAGCCACACATGGGAAATCCGACATATGAAGGTTGTTTGCTAGCAATAAAGTGGTCGTTGAAAAGCGGTTATGCGCATGTTGCTGGTACTGTGCTACAATGGCGTTTTAATAAAACCACGACTCAATCTAGAAGCGCCATTTCGAACCCAAAGTTGTTATCGAAACTGGGACTAAGCGTTGTCCCGATCGCTTATCCCAAATCGAGATGAGCTGTTCAGTAGTTTACGGCGCATAATCGTCCGAGAAGTCAGTCTCCTTTAGGAGTCCTTCTTGCATTTGTTAGACTGCGCTCTGAACAGACCACGTGGAAAAGATATCCACGCAGGTTCGTTTGCAACTGAAACTGTAAAAGGCGAACTTGGTGTGCTATTGGTTTTAAGTGCTTCCACAGTTTCTACCCAGGCGTTGGGACCTAGAAATGTCTACATCATGCAGCATAATGGCTAGGGTGTTTTCAGTGATTGGCACTACAAGAATGGGGCAGGTGTGGAAATCATTCGAAACGATCAAAGACACTTATCATTCTCCGGCTCTCTGTAAGCTCGGTGTTAATCTCATTCGAGATGACCTGGGATTGCTCATGTTTCAATTTATCTCGGTATATTTACGGAGCTGACTGTCAGCTAGTTAGTACAACCAATGGTGATCTGGGAGTAGACATTCAGCTCGTTATGTTTAACATGGAGATTAGGGACACAGCGAGTATAGCGGGGAAGTCATGCGGTAACGAAGACAGAAATGAAGAATTATCTTATGGAGTACTGTCGATAGCAAGTCATGGAGAAAAGGGACCCACTTAGGTAGTCAGCAGCCGCCACTCCACGTAATTCACAAGCACTTAGGGGCCTAACGATGGATTACAGTAGCTGCAGTCGTACGGTAAAATGGTATCGACAGAGAACAGTTTAATCTAATCAACAGCCCACGTCCTATGCACCACGCATGTTAACACGCATAGGCATCAATGTAGCTTCGTCTCTCATACAGAGCAAAACCATCTACGTGAATAACGTGCAACAAAGTGCATACATCGACCGCGCCAACTTGCAGCTGAGCAGGTGGGTAAGCATAAGCGTTGACGTGAGCCATCAGCATGAATGTGGAACGGGCGTACCCAAAGTGGCAGCCTCATTGCCGCCTGAGTAACAGTGTGTGTGGCATATAGAAGACCAGTGAGGGTGATCTCTCAGTCCTGGCACATGAAAAGTTAGTGTTCGATAAAGAAAGTGTGATAGGATAGAAGGGGACTAAGTGATGTGATTTCCACTCACATGTATTTTCCGTTTCTCGGTCGAAATCCGAATGGCCATCGGGAGCGGACGGTGCCAACATACTGTGGTAGATGGTAGAGCTAAGACGAGCGTGCACAATGGCGATGGGGCCTCGGATGGACTCCAAAGTACAGACATCAACAAGAAGGGGAGCTCGATGCTCTTTAAATGAGGAGGCTAATGCCAGACTGGCACCCCGCGGTCATCGGTACAAGTGACGGAGGCACGAGGAGTCATGTGATATGATAACTGTTGATGTAAACACCAGAATTTAAGCGGTTGTCCCAATAACAGCCGATCGACCACTTCGTTTGGTTACTCAGTGATGGTAAGAACGGCATCAGAAGTTTGTGCATTTGTCGCGAAAGCATGCAGCGCAACGAGTAGGTTTACTCCCCCAACTTATAGCAAAGTCACTCGCGTACCCTGACTTTGACAGATCGCGCCAGGTCCACCTCTTACTTCGGGATAAACAGAAGAAGGTAGTACCTAGTCAACCCTGACCGATACGACACTACAGCTCTGAAGAGGATTTGCTAGACAGGAAGTTATACCCAAGATCGCTCCGTAGACATAAGCATCCCGAGACAGAGTGTAGCCAATTGATCCACTCCGACGGACCGTGGATTCGACGTGATATTTGCGCATCGTTTTAAGAGATTAATAAAATGCTGCATATGTGTTCTGAGCTGGCGATTGCTCAACGCAGATGGCTTAGTTCAGTTGTTTATGGTGGATGCAATTTTCGTTATTATGTTGGGTTATGTTTGCTACCTTGTTCTCGGCTAGCGTGTCGGTGGATTTGCCAGGCCCCACCGTTTGCAAAAGGGCATGAATTAGTTTAAGTTACATCCTTCCGCATTCGATCTGTCTAGTCAAACACTACAGGCAGTATGACAGCTAATCAGACCCAGATTTGTAGTTTTGTGCTGAGTGTATGCAGGTACTCGTTTAGCCAATAATCGACTTACAGGTTTGTTGAATGGAGCATGTACTTTATTCTCCCGTTCATTTCATGGGGTTTGGCTTACATGAAAAGAACCCCAAGTACACCTGGCTCTAACGAAACCTCTGGGTCTTATTAGGTTAGCCTGAGGAGGACAATCTTTGCACACTCTGCAGCAGGTCACCTTTATGGTAAAGAAACCTACCAAGGCGTTCTCGCATGCGTCAATGACTCTATTGTGCCTAAGCACAGCCCGCATATGTAGTGCATCCTATTCGACTTGCTTCCAGTCCGTTTGTGGTGAAGTAATTTTGTGTATCGGGCCATAGGAGGGCGGGGGTGTAAACGCAGATTTACGTTGCCCTGAATCATCTGTCTGCGCTGGCTGAACCATTTCGCAGCCCAGTGAATCACAGCGTGAATAAATTTGAAAGATGATCGGCGCAAGCACTTTGAGCCATCATTATGAGATACTCTGAAAGTGTTGTTATTTGGTACTTCCATAAAATGTGTGAGATACCGTACTCATGTGACGCACCTGAAGCAATTTGAAGATGTTGAGGTTGGTATTCTTGCCAGTGGCAGAAGACTGAGTGAGAGAGAGCAGGTGACGCTAGTCTGGACATGTCCCAATCACCAACTATACAAAATCGAATTGGACCCTATGAACCGTGTAAGACAATTAATCTCTACCGCCTGTCGTGACCTTAAGATCCCACTAATCTAAGTGTGTTCGGTTGTTTGAAGAGCAAGGGTTCTCTCACCTTAACACACGGGGAGGAGAATGGGTCAGCCCTGGCAAGTTGCGGTGCACTCGACGCCTCCTAGCCGTCTCGTTATCTTCGTTCGGCATCCAAGTTAGAATGAATCGTAAGTTAGAAATTGCAGCGGAGAGAACGTGTGCGCATCTTGACTTTAAGTCTGACTTCCTTGTGCACCGAGGCGACCGTATCACATCCTTAGTTCAGCATGATAGCTGCTGTAAACTCAGTGATGAGAACGTGGAATTTCGAAACCATTACTACTTTCTTACAAAACCGAGCATATATGCCACAATATTCTTGGTAAAATGAATTCTACCGTCCTTGCATATTACATTTATCAGGTTTAGTTAACTCTTCTTTGCTTCAATATTCCAATGGATAACCTTCACTCAGCTGTGATTCCATAGTATATCGGCTCCCACTTAGGGATGCTTGTCACACATTCATTTTCCGATGTTTTGAATTGTACCTGGTTTCCGATGGAGATGAGGTAACTTGATATTTCTTGGACCTTTACCTCTGTAAAAAGATGACATTTGTTGACACTGGATTCAGTTCCTAACGTTCTGTTACCTATCAGGAGAACATGGTAATTGCGAGCATTGTTATCGACATAGTAGACTAAAACTGCTGGTATAATGGGCACAGTATCCTTAAACAGTGGCTAAACAACCAGGTAGTCACTTACGCGGGAAGCATGGGAAGTAGCGATAAGGTGCGAAGCAGTGGTGAGACAGCGGTCGGTGGTTTATTCTCATTGGTTAAACCACTGCACTCCTGATAGGCAAACTACGACTTGGAAATGGACAGGTTCATTTCAGTTGCAAAAGGACCCTATCCAGGCCTCAGAACGGGTGGGAAACTAACAGAGAAACAAGCAGAAAGTTTGCTACCAGGCTGTTATCTTACGTATGGTCAACTCCCAGCGACACCCTTAGTATCAACGGCCAGTATAGCCAATATTTACGTCTGGACGGTTGTGTTAACATGAAGATTGTCATCCTCTCAAAATGAAGGACGCTTGCCTGTGAATTCGCATAAATGACAGAAATACAACCCGGCCTGGTCCGGTTGTATCGCGTTGCTCATCTGCTCAAATCGAGCCATACTCATTCCTTCATCCGATTCATCATCCCCTGACGAATGGGGCTCACTGTATGACGACTGGTGAATTGTTTGGTCTAAAACAGAAAGACAGTGGAAGCGGCAGGTAGCAGGTGGGTGTATTGGTCAGGCGGACAAAACCACTGTGTGATTTGGAAAAAAACCTCTATCCAGAGCCATCACTGGTCTGCTACGGAAGAAGTCATGCTTAGCTTGGCCAACGAATCGTTAACTACTAGTCTGAGTCGATAACCTCGGTTACTCCTAATCGCTGTTATTCCAGTCTGCTGGAAAATTGCAGTAAGTAGGCTCGGAATTGATATAGAATCAGTGGGGATGGTGGGTTAATAGCGGGACACTTACTTCTCATCGCTTGGTCGCAGTCCGTGAAGGTAACCGGGGATGGCGGATTTGACGATTTATGCGAACCGGGGGTATTTACAATACTGAATCTCTCCGTTTCACCATCGCCGGTTTCCTGTTTGATTGAACTGATGTCAGCGGCCTGGAAGCGTCTGATGAACAAGGAATTTTGCCAATTGTTTTTGCCAGCTATGGCAGAGGAATCCGTCAGGAAGGTCGAATTGTCCCCTGTTGGCATACTAGAATCTGTTCCCATCACCAACTGATGTTTAGTCGTTCTTTCCACGGAGGGTGGTGTACTATCGGAGGATTCCATCGCACGCTGGGTCTCTGAACTGACTTCGAGTGAGGTGTGCTCTTCCGGACCATTTTGGCCTGAGTGGGAGAAGATGCTGGTGAACAACTGCAGTTCGTCATTTACATCTGGTGAGTTCTGTAAGCGCTGCTGTCGCTCCGCCAGCTCATCCACGTGTGGAGCCGATGCGACCGGGTACTGCTGGTAGGGTACTGTCACTCCTTTCCTGTCGAATGCGTGAGTACGGTAGGGAGCCAGGATGGGTTCGTCTTGTGAGTGGACCCCGGCGGAAGTAACGTACTCATCAGAGCTCAGCACAGAACCTTGAGGAAACGGTGTTCTTGGGCGAGAATTCCCTTGGTTCGTAAAAGAGCCTATGTGTGCACTTGTTGACACAGGGCAAAGGCCATCGGAAGAACTTGGACGGTGGACCAATGGAGAGGATGTCCCATGGTGTAATAAGTAGTCACATTGGGGCCATGTTTGCATTCTAAAATGATGAAAATGTGAAGCTGGTGCAAATCATTGAAATAAATGTAAATCCAGTACGTAAATGAGTAAGCAGAAATAGCACTACAGCCCAGATCTTACTATACATATGATTTGTTATTAGGTTGTTAAAAAGTTACTGCGGTTTGTGACACGTTAGTTTAAACAGCCGAATTTTCAATAAATGTTGAATAAGTTATTTTGAACTTGTATATCGTTTTGAAGTGTACGTTTCGCTCTATCTATCAGTAGGGATAACTTAGCTCAAACATATTTACTTTACAGAGCGTTTAATGTAACTTGGATGGAAGGCAAATTCACACAACTTGCTTGTATCCATTTAAATTGGGTCGAAATGAAACGGGAACAACTCGTGACATCAACAGTGTATTTGATGCTGGAACCATCGTACTGTGCAATGATGGTTTCAAAAATTTCCAAAAGGTTACGAGTCTTGATAATGCAGAGCGTTCTGGATGGCCATCGGAAGTAAACGACGATCAATGTAAGAACTTGGTTAGAGCGGATTTGCGTAACTGTTCGAGATCATACGTCTGACTTAGCAGTATCGCATGTGACAGTTTTCAATCAATTAGAATTTAAGTTGGAATTTAGATTAGAATGTCGAAAAAGCTTGATAAGTGGGTGTCGTACGAACTGCAAGAAAATCAAAATCGTCGCTTGGTATTGTTGTCTGCCCTTCTTTGGCACAATAAAACGACCCGCTTCTCGACCGTATTGTGAAGTGTGATGAAAAGTGGATCATTTTCGACGGTTGACGACAGACTGCTCAATGGTTGGACCACGATCAAGCTCCACAGTATTCCCAAAAGTCGAAATTGACACAAATAGATTATGGTAACTGTTTGGTGGTTTGCGTCTGATCTGATCCATCACACTTTTCTGAATCCAGATGAAACCACTACTGCAGAGAAGTGTTGTCAACAAGTTTCCGGAATACAGAAACGGGCCAACTCTTCTCCAAGGTAACACTCGGCTGTAATGTCCGAGAACCAACCCTGCGGAGGCTGCACGAGATCGGCTGTGAAACTTCGCCTCAGCCGTCATGCTCCTTGACCACTCGCCAACCAATTAGCACTTTTCCAAGCACATAGATAGGTTGCTCCGATAGAAATGTTTTAAAAAGCAAGGAGAAACTGCAACTGCATTTGACGAGTTCATCACCACCAGAACTTTGGATTTTATTCATCCGTTAGCAAAATTTTGTGTCAATTCAAATATATTATTTCAATTAAATATGTTGCGACTGAGCCAAGTTATGTGCATTCAAAGTTTAAGACTAACAAACTAAAATTTTATGGTGAAATCTGGTTCCCATAGCCTATTGAACTGGTGGCGATAGCTCTGCTAGTCGGGGAAGACAGACTTAGAGTTTAACCGGTTTATCCTCCAACAAGGGGGCTATTGTGCAGTGTTTCAAACGGAAGATAAATGAAAGGAGGCCCCTCGAAAGGTTTCTGAACGATCCCGGCAATGGCTACCACACATAGGATTGTTCGCGATTGGATACTCTGACCTCAGTTCCTAACATGAGCATGAAACTCTTAATACTATCCCAAAGGATGTCATTAGGGCACGGGATTGTGAAACGGCAGTGTGTTATAGTTGTCGCCGAAGGGATATTGGTATGGCAAGTTGGCAATGGATCGCGGATAGCCGAGTACTTCTTAATGCTCTGCTAGCCCAATTCAACACTGTGCACAATATGGCTTTTACCATCGAATTGGAACGCGAGAATTCTATGGAGATCTTGGATGCCCAGATCACCAGAACATCGAATGAGTGCGTGCAGATAAGAGTGCACAGCAGAGCAGCTTGGAATGGTCAGTACGTTTTAGACCAACTGAGTATCATTTGACGCTTAGAAGAGGGAAACGGTTACCCGGACAAACTTGTCTGATGGTACTGAAGGCTGCGGCCACCAAGCTAGCTGAACCACTGTCACTGTTCTTCCAAAGGTGCTTCGATAAACAACAATTCTCCATTATGTGGAAGCGTGGCATTATCACTCCAAATTTTAGAGGCGGTAGCCGTTCACTGCTTCAAACTATCGCCCAGTGACTCTTCTTCTTGTGCTCGCGAATGTGATGGTAGCGGTCGTCGCTGAGGCTCTAATGGACTACCTGGAAAAATGCGATATCTCGGCACCGGAGCAGCATGGATTCCGCCAACACCGGTCATGCACCACCAACCTACTTATTGCACGAGGTATCTGCACGGAAATGACTGATGATGGGGTCAGAGTTGACGTCATCTAACTGGACTTCTCCAAAGCTTTCGGCCGCCTGGATCACCGCATCCTCTTTCACCGGCTACAGTGATACGGAATCAGATATCCTGTTCTTGGTTGGATTGGCAACTTTCTTCTCCAACGGAAGCTTCCAGTACGCGTTAGGGGATCACTCTCTAACCCGATTGAGGTAGAATGTGGTGTTCCACAAGGCTCAATGCTGGGACCGCTTAGTTCTGGTGTTTATCAACGATCCGGCAAGAGTTATCTCCTCAAATTGTCTGCCTTTCGCCGATGACGTCATGGTGGGCGATTAGTAACAATGATGATCACGATCTAATCCAACATCAACTCGATTGCATTTATGAATGGTCAAAGAGGAACCTGATTCAATTGTACCTAGCTAAGTGCAAGGAGATCCAGCTGCGTCACCAGCTGGTGAGCGCTTACAAGCTTGGAGACCACACCTTGGAGAAGGTCTCTCAGGAGCGTGACCTGGGTGTACTGGTACAGGAAGACCTAGGGTGTTCAAAACAAGCAGAGAAGGCGACGAGAACCGGCAATCAACACTTCGGCCTGCTTCGCAAAACCTTCGGTCGGTTGGAAGCCTCAATCTGTCTCCAAATGCTTAACGCCTACGTGCGACCGCATGTGGAATATGGTATCCAGGCGTGACAGCCGTGGCGGAAACACCATCTTGTTGCTCTCGAGACTCCTCAACGAAGGGCAAACAATAACCTCAGGGGCATCTCTCATCTGCCCTATCAGCTTAGACAAATCTCTAAGAATGTACAGCAGTCGATATCGGCTTTTTGCGGGGGATCTCATTATGGTTTACCAGATTCTGAAGAACCCAAACCACATTTGCCGTCCGCTGCTGGAATTGAACCACAACACTAAACTAAGAGGTCACCCTCTGAAACTGACAATTCAGTATAGCCGGCTTGAATGCCGTAGAAATTTCTTTTCCCTCCGCATGTGCCAAACTTGAAAAACCCTCCCTAATTATGTCGTCTCTGCCCCCAATCTGGCGATATTTAAAAAACGAGTTGACAATGCATTGTCTCATTTGCATTTCATTTTGACTTGTTAGCCAGGGCTACAAAACGCAATCGAACGGTGTCTTGTAAAAATCCCAACCAATGGATTTATGGATTTATATTTTAATACGCGAACATCTCCGCTGTTCTACATAAGTCTATAGTGAATCCACCAAAACGCTTTTCACTTTAGTATGCAATTTATTCTTCGCAATAATTTCCATCCCACGGGACTCGTTAAGCATTGCACTTTTACCCGTGACGCACCATCGTTCCATTGAGCCAATAAGATTGAACCCGCTGCCGCAGAAAAGCGGATGCGCTTCCTATCAGGCCAAGTCACTCGAATGCACTCCAGCGCTACCGCGACAAAGTTCCATGCAATTGAGCTCAATGTCCTGTTCACACGAACGTCAATAGTAAGGACAGAATATCGAATTCAAAGCTTTCCTTCCGTGCGCACGACTTTTATTGCCTGTCTCGAGCAAGTTATATTGTCCGAGTCTGTGAATATTGCCCAGCGTGGTTCTATAGTGGGGTTAAAACGCAGTGACGAGCCCAGGGCACTCACACATGATTGACTCCAATCAACGAATAAACGTGCAAAAGGCTTTTCAGTTTATTTACAGGACATCTGTACACCTCACGAGAGCAGTCGGATGCCGCCCATAGCGACAGCAGAGCGATCGCTATTCGACACAAAATATATTCGTCCGAACCCTCCACCTACTGTGACCACAATCCATATTAGCTAACCCGATGATTGTACCTTGTCCCAAGCGGCGCGATAACATGACCAGATTGATCAGACAGTTAGTCTCCTTGATTTACCACCTTTAAATAGCATGTCAGTTTTATTCTTAGCTATCTGTTGTGGTGAACAACCCGGATGAGATCCACGGAAAAGAAGCTTATTCGCTTAGCTGGTAATCGCTATTAATATCTTCACATGTATCGACCTGTGGTCGCCCGGCAACTCACCAAGCGAGGAACAGCAGCGGCAACCCATGCACCTGGGGACAGGCGGTAGACGGATATACAGTGGACGTGGCAGATGAGGGTCGGTTTCGGAACATCAGCTGGCGGAGGTCACGTGATTCGATGATTCGCGAAACATACGAGCGCGTTGCATCGAATATCATTCGGCGGAAATTCAAACAAATAACGCTAAACTAGGTCATTAGGTCTGATTCCAGGACAGAGTAAATCCACGGGGATTCATATATGGGACCAACTTAAACACCCAATAGCAATGATCTCCATGGTACCTTGGTCCATATAGTGGGTCTAAAGGTTGTCTTACGGATTATGGACCAAAGTAAGAAAACCTTTCAGTCAGAATACCCGTGAAGGTAAGGGGAGAAAACATATTTAAGACCAGCATACATTGGCATATTTAAAAACTGCTCAAGTGACTTAGATGGTGTCCAATCTCAGCTAACGTTTGAGCCTCGATGGAGTGGTTGACCACTTAGTCGAACACTACCGAACAATAGGGAATTCAAGTGAAAAGATTAAGAAATGAATGTTGCCTTAACTGATTCGGGGCTGACAACTCTTAAACTAGTTGTGCAATGAATTGAGAGCGTAGCGGTAGTAATTGTGATCGCTGCTGTTCCAATCATTGTCGGTATTATCGCTGTCCGCTTCATTGTCTTGACGGTTGGTCCAACCTGAGAGTAACTGTGAGTAGCCACGATCCGGTTGTGC